TATGTATGTAAAAAAATAATTTAAAAGTAGATATTTGTAATCCCTTAGATCATGAACTTCATGAAAAAAATGTTTTTTTTTGGTGGGTTGCCATTTAAAAAAAAATAATATTTTTGTAAAACTCAGAAACAAAATAATAAAAATTTCGAAAAATTTTATTTTTGATAAAACATCACATTTTTATAGAACTTTATAATTCATCAATTAGTTTTTTCAAAAAATAAACGTCTGCATATTTCTTAATATTTTGTGCATATTTTTGTGAAAATGCGTGCATACGTAGAGTGGTCCAAAAGTCTGGAAACGGTTTTATTCTGACAAAATTATCAATTTTTTGGCAAATAAATTTATAGGTGTGCAATGGCTATGAAAATGTTATTCAAAAAAAATTTTGAATATTAATTAATTGTTTATATTTACGAGACAAACATAGTAACTTTTTTTTTAATGGAAACCTACCACAAATTTTTTTTAGACAACGAGCTTGTTACAAAAATTGTTGTCATGCAAATTCTTTTTTTTTTTTTGTAAATATCACACTTTTTTGTTGAAAAAATGTTTGACTTACAAGAATTAAAGAATTTTTTTTTGAGTAAACTACCAGTTTTTTTTGGTATATATGCGCATATTTTACGATTTTTTTGTGCATATAATCCGAGCCTTACTCATAATCATAAAAAGCACAAGTTTGTCGTTTTTAAAAATGAGCAGTGAAAATAAAACATAATAAGAAATCGTGTAAAACACATGATACACACACGAGTATAAGAAAAATAATCTTATCAAGACATAACAGAAATAATAAATGTTAAAAATTATCGGACACTTTGGTTTGCTATTTAAGGTCATGACAGACGCAGTCTGATATTATTTATTATAGTAACAAATAGAGAATATGTTTATACGTGAATAACATAAGACATGGCAGCTTATGTAGCAAGGTAAGCACCATAAATCTTTTTTTGGGTGCTTGGCACAACAAATTTAACCTTTTGAGGATTTCATCATAAAAAATAAATAATTTAAGAATGTGGCTTTAGTGTAAAATTACTTAATTACTATAATTTACAGTCTAATGCTGAAAATAAACACTAGCCTTGTCCCTGAACCAAAATTTGTTGTTAAAACAGTAGTTTAATTCTCCAGGTCAAGTACAAAGATCAATAACACGTCCCAAATTTTAAATTTGGCGCGACATGTTGCTTTTTTGTCTCCCTGCACGACAATTTAATCACGAAAAAAAACTTCCCACAAAAAACTTCTTTCCTTTCACGTAGATATCAAACGTATCTTTTAAATTAAAGGTCAAATTTTTCCTCAAGTGGGCAATTTGAATAGATTTTTTTGCGTTTTCGTTTGGTCCAAGTGCCATTTGTCTACGTATTATGGTTCTCAAGATTAACAGTGTTCGAAACAAAGAAACTTTACGATTTTTTTTGTCAGTTGTATGTTTAAGTACATTAATAAAATTTGGTAAATGATTAGTAAAAGGTGACAAAATGAACATATAAAAAAATCAAAGTCGTATCTTTTATAATTTGTTAGATATCTGTAGTTAAACTTGACCAAAATCAGAGAGTGCCACCTTAATTGACGTCTTAAATTCTTGAGTTTTAAATTTGGCGCACTTTCTTAGGGACATGTTGCTTTTTGGAAGAAATCGTCTTTCTCCTTCCTTCCTCTTTTCTCTCTCTTGTACTCGTTCCACGTTGTTCCTCGTTTCAACCCGAAATAGCCCCCGAATTAAATCCTCGCGCGTGGTTTTCGCCGAATCCACGTTTAGTTGTATGATCTGTACGATTCTGTCAATCTTTTCGTTATTTTCAAGAGCCATGGCGGAAGCACGTGAAAGAACCTTCATTATGGTCAAGCCTGATGGCGTCCAAAGGGGCCTCGTGGGGAAGATAATCAAGCGATTCGAGTCGAAAGGCTTCAAATTAGTGGCCCTTAAGTTCACCTGGGTTGGTAATTATCTAGTGACGTGGATTTGAGATTAATTCTTTTGTTCACAGCCTTCGGAGGAGCTCCTCAAGAAGCATTACGCCGATTTGGCCACAAAGCCCTTTTTCCCCGGTTTGGTGAAGTACATGAGTAGTGGGCCTGTGGTGCCCATGGTGTGGGAAGGGTTGAATGTGGTGAAGACAGGACGTGTGATGCTTGGTGCTACAAACCCCGCCGACAGTGCCCCTGGAACCATCCGTGGTGACCTTTGCATACAAGTTGGGCGGAATATTATCCACGGGTCGGATTCGGTTGAGTCGGCGAAGAAGGAAATTGGATTGTGGTTCACAGAGAAGGAGGTGATCAATTGGAAGCCAGCTAATGAGGGATGGGTGTATGAGGATTAACTTGTTACAATAAATAAGTGAAAAATTAAAATGTGTCTATTGATTGCTAGTTCGTTGATTTCTATTTTTAGAAAGTTGAGAAAGTAGACTTATTTTCATGCAGATGTAAATTACTGGTTGCATACTTTACACAACAAAATAAAAGTCTACAATTGGTTGGGTATTTTCCGAACAAAATTTAAATTACAAGAAATTAAAAAAAATAATTTGTCATCAAATTTCTGATTAGCTTAAATTTTGTGAGGGAAATGCTCGGTACAGTTGAAGACAAAATACTTTGGTCGTTAATGTCACTTGAGTGACATTAAATTGTAAAGCATGCTTTAGGACTGTTAACCTTATTTCTAGCTACTGCCAATCATATAGTTGACAAGTTGTACATATTTTTGTCATTAATTTGAAATTGTCATTCGTTTTAACGTTAAAGCTTGAATTACATTAAAGTGTCAGAAAAGTGACGAGTACAAGTTCGTTATTCCGTAACCAATCAGATGCAAGCATCCTGACGTCATGTCAGGTGAATCGGTTTGTTGTGTAAATAAGTGTAAAAGGCGCAAAAAATGGTAAGCAAAGGCCTTTTACACCGGAAGTGTTATGAAATGGTTTTTGTGGAAATTATTACAATAATAAGTCAGTCTTGGCCAAGCTCCGGTACGAATCGGTAGTTGAGTGCAAAATTGTGTTGTGTATTTTCGAGTGGTAAAAGACATTTAGTAGTGCGCGATTTTAAAAATTTCAAGTGATAAGTGAGTGCCAATGGGGGAAATGGACAAGACAATCGTGCTACAAGGGTCTGGATTAAAGGGTAAGTCAACAATGACTTTTAATTTTTTTGAAAAACTTACACTTTTTAAATTTTATTTAATATTTTCAACTAATTTAATGATACTTTGAACTGATTTTGTGTTTCTTTATTTTCAGTAGGTCCGTGTAAGAAGCAGAGGCAAATTGCTACAAAGGGTAGCAGAAAAAGATACCATAAAGGTTAGTGCACTTAATTTTTTTTTTTTTGTTTTTTGCAAAGTGAAGTGTGTGAATTTGTGATTTTTGAGTGCAACAGTAAGTATTTATTTAATTTTACAATTTAAAATTTACAATATTTTTAACAGAAAACTTGGACCTTTGGTATTATACCCACAAATTTAATTTTTTTTCTAGAAAAAAATCTAGGAAAATTTATCAATTTTATTTAAAAAAAATGGAGTAAATTCTTTATTTTATCAGAATCGAGCACCTAAATAAAATTTGGTCACTTTTTCTATCATCTTTTCGCAGAATTCCTAATTTTTTTTTCTATAAATTATTGTGATTTTTCACTTAATTTGATACAAATAAAGTTTTTTTTTAATTTGCTTCTTTGAAGGAAATAGAATGTAGTTTTTTATTTTTCTTATCTTTCTTACCAAAAATGGATGAATTTTTACTTCCACTACAGCCAACATGTCCTTCAATGTGCTTTTTCTTTGAAATTTTTTTAAATTCTTAGATTGCAATTTCTTCGTTATTTTTTCCGTATTTTGTATAAATATGTATAATACACATTTTAATAAAATAAAAATATTTCTTTCTGCTCCAAAAAATTAAGAGAACAAAATTTTGTACAAAAATTCAAGAAACTGACAATTTTCAGTCTTCGCATACCCTAATTTTACTGATATCAACATAATTGCATTAATTAAAAATTGACACCCCCCAGCAGTATTTTTTTCGATTTTTTTTTCAAATTAAATCAAATTAAATTTAATTTCATTTAAAATCAGATATCTCAGCGACAAGTTGACCTAAAGAGAATATAAAAAAAGCAAATTGAACTTAAATAAAAACAAATAACTTTTACTGTTTTAATTTGCCTTGAATCAAAAACAAACTAAATTTGAATCCTTGCATAATTTTCCCAGTTTTAAAATTAGAATTTTAGACAAACAATTTCTACGATTTGCAACAAAATCAAATCAATTATTTTTTTGGTCCAGTGTCAACATTAACGCATAATAAAGGTCAAAGTTTGTTCCGTCTTGAATTTCTTGAGTCAACCGACCTTTCCACCAACATCTGAAAAACACTTCCTTTAACACTCCCACTTTTTCTTCCTTAAAGAGTCCAACATTAATTTTGACCTCCCTTTTATAACTCAATTCTCTTTTATTGTATTTATTGCAAAAATTCGGGTTATAACTCAATTCTCTTTTATTACATTTATTTCAAAAATTCAGACTAACTAAGTCAATGATCGATTCGAGAGAAGTCAAGGTGAAACCATAATAGAGTTCAAAATTTTTTGTGATCCCAAATAGATGACGACATCACCAGGTAGTAACAAAAGTCTTCAATTTTGACCTATTAGATCACTCTTGTAAAAATTTTTCGAAAAAAAAAACACAGTTTCGTATCACAAAATTTATTTATTCAATGATAAGACCGTTTCTGCGGAGGCCCATAAACCTGATGAATCCCACCCCCTTGCAAAATCGTCGCAGGGGTCGTCGAGACAACCCCCAAAGGACTCAAAGTCGTCGAAAAGGAATCAATTTTGGGCCCCGCAAAGCTCCCAAAGCCTTGATGCACCCCAATGGTCGAAGGCGTCGTCGAGACAACCCCCAAAGGACTCAAAGTCGTCGAAAAGGAATCAATTTTGGGCCCCGCAAAGCTCCCAAAGCCCCCAAAGCCTTGATGCACCCCAATGGTCGAAGGCGTCGTCGAGACAACCCCCAAGGGACTCAAAGTCGTCGAAAAGGAATCTATTTTAGGCCCCACAAAGCCCCCAAAACCTTGCTGTTGGTTAAACCCAACATCAGGCCCCAATTTCTGACTCAAATCACTCTCCTGAATCCCACTGAGAAAATTATGATCATCAACTGAATTAGCACTAAGAGAAACATCACCTCCTCCACCACTCTGCACATGCGAAATGGCCTCTTCGGCCTCCTTCTGTGTCTTATATTTGATAAAATACACTTCAGGTTTGGTAGGTTTAGTAGGCGGTTGAGTGGGAAGAATAATCGTTCCTTCTTCCGGTTTCTTCACCAAAACGTAGACCAAAGTCTTATCTTCATTCTGTGGCAACACTGGAATTTCAACAGGGGAAGTACGGAAAGTCGGCGCTTTGATAAACAAGACTTTGACATTTTTCTTAGCGGGGGCAGGGGGGACAATAATCCTCGGTTTGACTTCTTCGGGTTCTTCAGGAGCGGAGAAGAAGTATAAGTGTTTTTGGACTTCCACGTCCGAAGTTTGGCCTCGTGAGTCCAAAACCGGGCCTGGAGTTGAACTAACAGTTGGGACTACGTTGTTAAATGAGTCCAAAACCGGGCCTGGGGTTGGGACTACGTTGTTAAATGAGTCCAAAACCGGGCCTGGGGTGGAACTAACAGTTGGGACTACGTTGTTAAAGGAGTCCAAAACCGGCCCTCGTTGGTTTATGAACGAATGGTACGTTTCTCCCCCTGTGAAGGGGGTGAACTCGTGGATGGGGGTTTGCAGGATTGAGGCAGGGGTTGTCCCAAGTTTGTTAACGTGGTAGTACTGCCGGTCATGGTGTAAATTACCAATGGACCCAAAGGGTACGTCGTAGCTGGTCGCTGGGACGTTGTATTGGTACCCGAGGTGACTCACGTCGCATGCGACTAGAGGTGCAAGTACTGAAATTAGCTGAAAATGTGTGTTGGTACCACAAAACTGAAATTTTTTTGAACTTACCACTGAAAGCTTCATTTTAATTATGAATTGCTACGATAGTCATTAATTTTATTTATAAGGCATTGTCCCCACCCTTCTAAACATCCTTATAACAAGGACATATACCTGTTCATCACTGCCATAGGTTAACATTTAGATGAATAAATAAAAAGAAGCACTAAAATTCTTAACCTTGCGGTTAATAAATACTACAGATGGCTCAGCGGTGATTACCTCAGATGTTATTATAAAATCATTCAAGTTTGATCGTTGAGACAATTCGACTCGTTTGAAAAAAAAATTATTTGTCGGATTAAATTATTTGCTTAGCAAATACCGGAAAAGTATTTGGATTTCATTCATGATTGTACTCGGATTTGTTTAATGTTTACTTTATCGTTGAAAGGTAGGTGTATTGACTTTAAAACACTTGTTATAATTTTTTGTGTGGTCAAAAATTCAATTAGCTGAGTGCTTACTTTTGTAATTGGTACGTTTAAAAATCATTGTTTAAATTTTAAATCTTCCATAATTTATTGTACACACATTAAGTTCTGTCAATACCTTTCTCTAACGTAAGGACGTTTTATTTAATCGAGATTTTTGACTAACGTTTTATTAGTTAAATACAGAATGTCCGGAAAATAAAGCAACTTGAGCTATTTTCAATCCAATTTTGCTCGATTTTAATACAGAATTTATTCAAAATTAATGTATTTTTATAAAAATAACAGCTTCAATTCCAATCTTAGGCTGAAATAAAGCAGTTTGAGCTATTTTCAATTGAATTTTGCTCGCTTTTAATACTGAATTTATTCGAAATTAATGTTTTTTATAAAAATAATTTCTTCAATCCGAATTTTAGGTGGAAATAAAGAATTTGTGATATTCTCAAGCGGTTTAGCTGTATTTTATTTTGCTTTTATTGGCAAAATTTTTGTATCTTTATTAAATAATTATGAAAAAACAGTATCATCAAATAGACATAAAAAATGTCAAATGTCAAATTTTTTTCAGAGATAGAATTTTTCAAACATTTTTTTATTGCTCTTGGGGAGGTGCGCGACTTTCCGGACCACCTGTATGATGCGTTATTTTTGGAACTAAAATCCTGGTGTAAATTTTAATCTGAGTTCCATATGTCAAAAACCTGTTTCTTCTCGACCATATCGGCCTAATGTGTGGTTGTATTTTTCAAGGATTTTGCATTTTTAATCTATAAAAAATGATAATTTGAATTCTAATGTACGAATGAATCACTTGGAATTTTCTGGTTTTACGTGACAACGATTTTTTTTTTAACTTTAACCAAGAAGCTCTCTGAATTAGGGTATTTAGAATAGAAGTTTTGCCATAAAATAATTACAAAGCATAATTTATTAAATTTTACTAAAAAGTGTCAAAATGAAAATCATTACAAGAAAAGAAAATGGTTTTTATTTTAATTAATTTAGGTACACCGTTCGATTCTTTTGGACATCTTCCTTGAATTTTTAAAAGGTTAAAATAACTCTTTATTATAATAATTATGATTAATTAATTATTAATTATTAGATTTTGTAATGATCATGATGTGTTCACATTTTTTATCTATTGTGAACCATTTTTCTGCCAAGGTCGTTAAAAATTTCTAAAGCTTTTATTTGAATTTAGTGTATTGTAAAGCTTCATTTTGTAATTAGCACATTGACAGCGATTTCTTTTTTGTTATAATGATAATTTCGTAAACAAAACATTGGAATTTCAGAAAATTTATCAGTGATTTTTTTTTTTCTATTAGACCGTCAATTGACGCGGTAATACCAAACAGTTGGCTCTTAAGTACTTTTTTTCAATAAATAAATAAAATCCTTTTGCTTTTGTCGGCATTAAATCACTTGAAAAAATATTTCGTCATTTTCTTTTCAAGGCTGAGGAATTCAAACATTGATTGATTTAAAAATCAATAAGAGATATTAAATATATTAGACTAATAGTTTCAAACGACATATGCAAATTTAGAAACAACCAGGATGCTTTTCTTATAAAAAAAAATTGACAGTTTTAAAGCAGTGTGAATCATTTTTACAATCCAATGTTAAAAAAATTCCACTTTCATATAAATAAGATAAAATATTGGAAATTATCCCATAAGGAGAAGAAAATATGAACAAATAAACACTACTGTCAAAGAAAGTATGTCCCTTGGGCTGTTTTCACAATGGTCCAAGGATATAAAACTGACTTATCGAGTAATTAATCTTACAATTATTATTCTATAACATCAATAAGCATATTATTCTGCAATAAATCACCAGAGGTGTGTAAATATGTATTTCCTCTCTTATTCCATGATCTAGTCCTAAATCAAGTTGGTAGTTTGACGTTGATTAGTTTGGCATTCAGCGTAAGAAAAATACTTCGTTGAATTAAAGTAATTTGTTTTATTTGGTCGTAGATAAAGTATAGTATGCAACACGTTTTATAAACTGCTTAGACATTTCGTGCACAACATAAAACTCGTATTATTACATAATATACTATTTTTGAAAAAATACAAGTTTTAAAATTGCTCATTTTTTATTTTACTCTATGAAATAGATAATTTAAAGCTGCTTAGGTTTGTATGGAATTTGCTCTAGGTTTTATTTAAAATTTCACAATTTTCACTTTTTAAACTGACAATTTACTTTTGCTTTTTTAAATAATTTTGTAAGTACAGTTTTCAGCTAGAATAAACGCAATTGGGTCGTTGCACATATTTTTTTATTGCATATTCTGTATCTTTATTAAATAATAATTGACCTATATATATATACAGGGTGCGCCAGAACTCGCGCCCCAGAGAAAATTTCCAAGTAAGGTAAGATACCAGGAACATGAAAAAAATGTTTAAAAAATTCTATCTGTCAAAAAATTTTGACATTTATTTTTTGACATTTGACATTTTTTTATGTCTATTTAATGATACTGATGATCTTGTATATGTTTTTTTACAATTATTTAGTAAAGGCACAAAAAATTTGCCAATAAAAGCCACAAATAACATTAAACAGAGTTACAATTTAGGATACAACTTCTTTGTTTCCTCTTTTAATAGCCTATAGCAAAAAAACTTGTAAAATTATTTTTCTAACAGAAATAAATAAAGTCAAAAAGCAAACTTTAAACCCTCATAACTTCGAAATTTTTATAGATAAATTTTTTTTAACATTTTTTCCATGTTGCTAGTATCTTACCTTATATGACATTTTTCTCTGGGGCGCGAGTTCTGGCGCACCCTGTATATATATATATTTTTTGAGAACTTAATTTTAGTAGAAAAAAATATCAAAAACTCGTAAAATAAAATAAATTCAAAACGCGCGCGTTTTATTTGCTGTGAGGTAATAATCCAGCTTTGCGCTCATTGGCTGTTTGAATGTCGGTAATGCAGATTGCAAATCTGTTATATTTTAGGTTATATTTTAGTGTTTGTTTATTTTAATATTTGTGTTCTGTGTATACAATAATAATTATGGTGCCAAAAATGAGTACATTTAAACATCCGCCATATTATTCCACTTGCCATTGCTTTTGGGATTGTTACGTAGTAAAGCGGGAATTTTTCTCGGGTTTAAATTCTACCCAAAATTTTATGGTATTTCAAACTTTTCCAAATGAATTTTATTGACGGATCGCTTCTTTGTAAACGTAATAAAAGTAAAAAAACACAAACTCCGATGGATGCAACGACCATATTATTTCACAAAGTTTTGTTAAAAACAAGTCGAAAAATCACATAATCTTGCCGGAAATGGTGTTATTTTTGCCTTTTTTGGAAGTTTAAGTGGATTTTTAAGCTGAAAACGAGTCAAAAATCACATCTGATATAGTACCTCCACTTCAAAAAATGGAAATTTAAATCCAGAATTGCGATATCCAGATTTTTTACTTTAAAACCACCAAAAATTAAACCCATGAAAATCATTAAGAGAAATCTCAAAATTGTAAAAAAACCTCTTAGTTTTAGACATCCCAAAATGACTATTTTTGGAAGTCGTTTTCTAATTTTTTTAATAACTTCAACTGTTTATTTATTGTCTAATCTTTTTTTAATTTCTGAATTACAATTTTTAGAACCAATTTTAAACTATGTTTATTAGGTTGGAGAAAAACAGTTTCCCAAGTATCAAATTTATTAAATATAGGTAAAGAATATTTTTAACATACACACTTATAAAATTCAACATTTATATTCAGCTACAAGAGCTTCATGTTTTTTACATTCAATACTCAATTGACGAATTGCAGCAACGTATTTTCTTTGCTGCTCTATCAAGACTTGTAAAGCTGCACTTAACTGATCCCTTTTTCGCTTCTCATCCACTAATTTCCTCTCAACTTTTTCCTTTGAGTGTTTCACCCCTTCGACGATATTTTGAAACTGTTTCAGAAATTCTTCTTTGCCACTAGCCGACAGCATAGCCCTAAAATAGTAACATGAAATAATTAGTTTTGAGTGATACACAAAACTTCTTTTTCAATTTTAAATTTTCTCGGCTAGGGAATTTATTATTTTCTTCCACTTACTCCACGGTGTAATGATTTTAAATTTAAAATAATTTTATGACATTTGTAAAGTAATTAACACTTTTGAGAAGAAAATTCAATTGCATTTGTTGAAAATTGATACACAAGATGTCGTGTGCAGTGAAATGGTGTAGAAATACGAGATTTAGGCCCGAAGGAATCACTTTTCACCGGTATGTCATTCATCATAGTTTGAGGTTATGTTCATGTGAAACAAACTGTTTTTGCAAACTTCCAAAAGGTTGGCTGTGTGAAAAGCTGTTTTAGGAAGAGAAACTTGACACTTCAGTGTCACTCAGTGCTACCAATACAAAAACTTTCATTTAAAACCCTGTTTGCCAAAAATCACTAATTTTGCTCCTTTTACAACTTACTCGGGATAGCTATCAGAAACTGAGTTAAGCAACGACAACTCTTTCTTCATGTAGAATTTCGTATCTTCTAGAGTATTGTAAAGTGTGAAGTATTGTTTCGTTTCTTTATGCTTTGCAGAAACTGAAATTAGAAATGATAATTAAGAAAAAATTGCAAAAAAATAATGATACCTTGATTGTACAACTCGAGAAATCTTCGTTGGTATTGAGCCAACTCGGGCCTATTGGGAACATCATCAATTTGTCGACGCAAAGCAGCCACTGTTCTGTTACGTTTCGCCAAATGCAAACGAATCACCCTCACATTTTCTATTAATTCTTCTGGTATCTTATCTGTATCATTTTCCACCACCGTTTCCCCATTTTTGATTTCCCTAGAACAAAATAGCACAAATCACAAACTAAAATCCAAATTCTCCAAATGTTTATAGTGCAACGCTGGTTTTTATCAGCCTTTGGGTATTGAATCACGTATTCGTATATCTACAGTCCATTTTTTTAAACAATTGTCAATGTCACAATTCCCACAAAGACCAGAATTTTAATTAATAATAAAACTTGTTTGCCACCGAAATTAATTCTAAGAGAAAAATGGAATTCAATTAATGTTTCCTCATATTTTCACATTAGACTTTTGTATTTTTCTGTTTTTTTTTTGTTTACTATTTTCTTGTTTCATTTAGTCTTCCTGTTTAGTTTTGTTAGTTTTTAGTTCACTTAATTGTTATTTTTCACGTCCAAACAAGTTTCACATTGAATCATGAATAATTTCCGTAATTATCTTACAATTTGTTGAATATTTAACATAAAAATGCGTATTTCAGTTTTCTGATGTTGGATAAATCACTGTTATGACGAGACATATCAACAAAAAATCTATAAATTGAAAATATAACAACGTTCTGCAAACGACTGCCAAGAAAATTGAGTTTGCTTTCGTGAAACCTAACTATAAAATTGTAAAAAAGAAAATTGAGTCGTGGAATGAATGGCTGCAACACGCAATAAAATCGCTATAAAAGTTCCAAAATAAAGATTTTGTAACAATTGTATTAATTCACAATACATTTTGCTAAAGAAACTAGTTCATCAATATCATTAAATAGACATAAAATGCTCAAGAAACAATTATTTTTCCGACTTGTTTGCCACCGAAATTAATTAATGTTTCCTCATATTTTCACCATTACACTTTTGTATTTTTCTGTTTTTTCTGTTTACTATTTTCTTGTTTCATTTAGTCTCTCTATTTAGTTATATTAAATTACTTTCAGGTTTTTTGTTTTTTCGATTTTTTTGATTACTTTTATCCATTTGTGATACTGTTTATAATTTCCTTCTTTCTCCGATATTTCTGTCCTACATTTTTCTACTTTTAAGTCCAATATTCGTTTCTCCATATTTTTATTCTTTCTTATGTTGTGCTTTCTTTTAACATCCTTGTTTTCAATTTTTCAACTTTATTTCTTTCTTTCTTATTTTTTGTAAACTCTATCTTGAATGTTTTTAACGTCGCTTTGTCTTTTTTTAAACTTTCTTTCAAACCATTTTTGTCATCAAATTGTTCTGCTTTCGCAAATTATCTTATTCTGATATTTTTTGTTTTTGGTTTGCTTTTAAATTAGCTAATGACAAACTAAAACACAGTATTTGACAAAATGAGTACCTACTATATTGTATTAATTTTGTAAAAAAAACTTTTAAATTATCAGAAAATTTGATGAAAAAAGTAAATCAATTTTAATTTTTTTAATAGATTTGCTTTTCTTTGTTTTAATGTTTCTGTTTTTTATTATTCTCATTTTAGGCAAATCCAACTGTCAAAAGTGTCAGATTGATTGAAAACTTAAAATTTATGCACTTTTAGGCCTGTTTTTCTCTGTAAAACTCTAATACTTTGAAGAATTATGAATGAATTATTGTTTTTCACTTTTACTCAATCTCTACCTTTCGCCGTTTTCTACTTTTAGTGATTTAAAATTTTTGCAAACAATTGCTATTGTGTGACAAAGATGGTTAAATTAACGTTTTACACGGGTGTGAGAGTGTTCAAGCTATCACGTTTTAATAATAGATCATACTGACTCAATTTTTTTTTGAAGTTGGGCCATTTCCCTCTTACAATACTCCCGAAACTGACTTTCTTGCATTTTCAAATTTTCGTTAAGCATCACCAACTCTTCCACTTCTTCAATTCGTGTCCTGAAATTCCAATTAAGACTGAATTAAACAGTTTTTATACCAACTTGTCATTCTCATTTTGTTTCAACTCCTTGATTTTAGCACTCAAATCTTGAATTTTAGTTTTGATTTCTTGGTCTTGTGCTTCAATATTGGTCAATTTCTCATGGAGTGTGGATTTTTTAGTGGCGAGTTTATCACATTTTTCGGTAATTATACGAAGCTGTTCCTCAAGAGTCGCTTTTTGTTTTTCTTGTAAGTGTTTCAAACCACCAGTCTGGACAAAATCAATTTTCAAAACGAAAAACCCCAAAATTAACTTACCTTAAATTCCAACTGTAGGGAAGTGTAATGTTCTGCGAGATTTTTTAAATCTTCAGTGTTTAAATCCTCATGTTCCACACTTTCCTGTTGAGAATTTATTTATGACTTGAAATGAACACAAACCCAACTTACATTAGTTAAAGTTTCAATGTTATGTTTAGTGGCGTTTCCATATTCAAGGAGTGTGATTTGGACTTGAGCTTGTATTTCAGGGGGCGGGGCATTTTTTCGCTTGTAGTACCTTTTCGGGGCATAAATCTCGTTCACAAGGTTTATATTTTTCAAAATATTTGTCTCTTTTTTTGTGTTGCGACCAAAAGCTTTGTGGTATTGATTGACGGCATATTTTCTCACAAACTCCGACATTTCTTGTCTGAATTCTAGGGACCTTTTTACAAGCCACTGAAACAAATTATTTTACCAAAACATTTCATTGAGAGGATTACCCAGGCTGACAAAAAAAAATCATGTCGTGATAAATTATATATCATTTTGTTCGTCTCAGTGAAACAAATCAAATGCACTTAAGAAAAATTCAAAAAGGCCATACACTTTCAGCTAAATATTTTTTTTCTAATTTAAATGAATTTGAAATACTTTAACTTTAAAAAATCGTTACTCAGTATCTATTAGGCCGATTTCCTTCAAATAAAGACCATTCTAAAGTGATGGATTTGCCCTTTAGAATGATATGCAATTTGAAATTAAATATTAAATATAAGAAGTTCGAAGTAAATCGAAGTAATCTAAGAAAAACCCTACGAGTAATTTTTTTCTTCTTCATAACCTTCGTGTAGAGCATCTTTTTATTAGTTCAAATCCAAATTTTTAAAATAATATACCGAGTGGTTTTCAAGATATGATTTTTTGAAGTTAAGGTTTGATATTCAGGCATTGCGCCATATAGAAAAATGCATGTTAATCTTACTTAAAATTGCATTTTTATAAAAGTATTTGTTTTAAAAATCCTCTTTTGCTTAAAAATGGCCAATTGCACCTTTTTTGTTCTAATTAGAATAAACAAAAACTGTTTCTTTACTTAAAACAAACAAAGAGTATCTACGTACTAATTAAAGCAAATAAAGAGTTTTTTGTTCTGAAAATGATGAATTTTTAGTCATATTTTGTTCTATAATATATTTTTAACATAAATTATAAAAAACTTATTTTCTCGTTTTTGAGGCATTGTTTTATATATAATTTGTCGTAATAAGCCGGAAAATCAGTGAATTATGCTCAAATTGGCTTTCTTCAAGCGATTTCGCTTTTATAAAAAAAAATATTTTCTAAAATTTTCTCACAATAAGTCCAAAAATCTTTGAATTATATCGAAATTGGCTTGTTTGAAATGATTTAGCTCATTTTTAAATAAAAAAGCTTCTATCATTACAGCTACAAAATCCTCAAAAAACAGTAAGTTTTTGGGCCAGGGNAAAAAAGCTTCTATCATTACAGCTACAAAATCCTCAAAAAACAGTAAGTTTTTGGGCCAGGGACTTACTTATTTTCCAAGATTTTATTAAAACTAGCTAAAAAATTACCAAATTAGATCTAAATTGTCGTTATTTGGTCTTTTTCAATCATGTTYTGCTCGTTTGTTAACTATTTTTTTTAATTTTGCGAGATTTCATTTAAAAAACTGAAAAACGCCTAAAATTGACCTGTTTTCTACGATTTTGTATGAAATTGGGGCAGAAACATGTTAAATTTGCAAGGTTTTGATATAAATTACGCAATAAAATAAAATCAACTATTTTGATTTTTTTCAATAGATTTACATTGCTTTGGAGTCAATTTATTCTCTAAGATTTCGTCATCGAATTATGCTCAAAATGGATTATTTTGGCTATTTCAAGCGATTTTGGCCTTACAAACTTTTTTATTTCTTAAAATTTTGTCAAAATAAGTCGAAATACATCGAAATTGAAGTAATTTTGGCCTGTTTTAAACTGTTTTAATTTAAAAACAAAAAAGCTCTCATTATGAGAGCCTAATTTATAGTTTCAAAATACCTATAAAACAGTAAAAAATGTAAAAAAAGTAATTTTTTATTTTAATTATATTATCACAGGTTTTACTGATTTTTGTATTTTTTTTTACTAAGGCTGTTATCTAAGGGTTACAACTATCTAGGCACATTTTATTCAATTTTTACCGATAAAAATTTCATTTAAGTTGAAATAAAACAATTTTTTTCACTTTTCTGACGACAAATGATTGAAAAAATGCTTAGTTTCTTACTTTTTGTAGTGTAATTGTTTTTTCTTTTATCACAATGGTAATAATAAATTTTCAGTCATATTTTGACATTTTATTGTTTTATAACAATGAGATTTTTAACGTAAATTATAAAAAACTTATTTTCTCGTTTTTGAAGCATTTTTTTTTATATATAATTTGTCGTAATAAGCCGGAAAATCACTGAATTATGCTCAAATTGGCTTTCTTCAAGAGATTTTGCTTTTATAAAAAAATATTTTCTAAAATTTTCTCAAAATAAGTCCATTTAGCTCATTTTTAAATAAAAAAAGCTTCTATCATTACAGCTACAAAATCCTCAAAAAACAGTAAGTTTTTGGGCCAGGGACTTACTTATTTTCCAAGATTTTATTAAAACTAGCTAAAAAATTACCAAATTAGATCTAAATTGTCGTTATTTGGTCTTTTTCAATCATGTTYTGCTCGTTTGTTAACTATTTTTTTTAATTTTGCGAGATTTCATTTAAAAAACTGAAAAACGCCTAAAATTGACCTGTTTTCTACGATTTTGTATGAAATTGGGGCAGAAACATGTTAAATTTGCAAGGTTTTGATATAAATTACGCAATAAAATAAAATCAACTATTTTGATTTTTTTCAATAGATTTACATTGCTTTGGAGTCAATTTATTCTCTAAGATTTCGTCATCGAATTATGCTCAAAATGGATTATTTTGGCTATTTCAAGCGATTTTGGCCTTACAAACTTTTTTATTTCTTAAAATTTTGTCAAAATAAGTCGAAATACATCGAAATTGAAGTAATTTTGGCCTGTTTTAAACTGTTTTAATTTAAAAACAAAAAAGCTCTCATTATGAGAGCCTAATTTATAGTTTCAAAATACCTATAAAACAGTAAAAAATGTAAAAAAAGTAATTTTTTATTTTAATTATATTATCACAGATTTTACTTTATTTTTTTTACTAAGGCTGTTATCTAAGGGTTACAACTATCTATGTAAATTTTATTAAATTTTTATCGATAAAAATTTCATTTAAGTTGAAACAAAACAATTTTTTTCACTTTTCTGACGACAAATGATTGAAAAAATGCTTAGTTTCTTACTTTTTGTATTGTAATTGTTTTTTTCTTTTATCACAATGATAATAATGAAATTTTCAGTCATATTTTGACATTTTGTTGTTTTATAACAATAGGATTTTTAATATAAATTATAAAAAACTTATTTAATTCTTTCGCAACAACTAAAGATGAAACGTACCTCATCTACAAAATTGGTCAATAAAAATCGGCCTAATAGTTATTGAGTAATGATTTTTTAAAGTTAAAGTATTTCAAATTCATTTAAATTAGAAAAAAAATTATTTAGTTGAAAGTGAATGGACTTTTTGAAATTTTTTTTAGTGCATTTGATTTGTTTCACTGAGACGAACAAAATGATATACAGGGTGAATATAAAGTATGGAACCAAGCGGTTTTATTTTTAATCATTTGCCTCCGGAAAATAATAATTAATATAAATTAAAGTAATATAAAAATGTGATCATAATTTCAGAACGAAATTTTGTTTTGTTTTTGAGTTATGCGATTTTTTTTTTGTCAAAATTGCAATTAATGTGATTTTTTTTTTTTTTTTTTAATTAAAAATAATCCTTAGAGTATAGCTTTTTTGAGAAAAATGATTTTATAGTGGGTTGCCATTTAAAAAAATTAATTTTTTTTGTAGAACTCAAAAATAAAAGGAAATTTCGAAAAATTTTATTCTTGTTAAATCATCACATTTTTATAGTACTGTAGCACTCATCAATTAGTTTTTTCAAAAAATAAATAGTTTAAGCAAAAAACGTTTGGTTCCATACTTTTTATTCACCTGGGATAATTTGTCAAGTTGTCACGATATGATTTTTTTTTGTCGGCCTGTGTTATTACTTGTATCACGGGGAAAATATGGATAAAGTCCAAGCCTTGTATTTGATGTGGCTCGATACTGTGAGGGCACTTCAATTTGGGCAATACTATAACGATTTTCTCGGTTAATGCACTAGAAAAACCGGTGAAAAATTGGTTTGTTGGGGGATTTAGTTACATTTTTTGCCCAATCGTGGAGTTTTCTTGAAATAAAAGGTCAACGTCTACGTCTACGTTGCAAGATTCGATACACCAGGTCATTCCCCCCACGACTTTATCGAAGGGTGAGAGGCCCTTAATTCTTGCACGGAAATATCCAGCAGCCACTAGTAAATCAATTATTTCTTGGAGTTTCACCGACTGTTCTTCATCTTCACGAACGTCGAATTTGTGGTCGTTTAAGTCTTGTTTGGGCAAATCGGTGCTTTTGAATTTTTGAAACATGCTTGAAAACGAATTAGGAAAATAAAGACAAAAAAGACATTTCTTACCTGATTATTTTGTTTTTTTGTTTGTAACTGTTATGATAACGGGGTTAACCCTGATAAACTCGTTATTTCTTCTTCAGTAATTAAAAAAATCACCCCAATGGGTCACTATCACAGAACTGAAATTTTTGGAACTGGACACACCACCAGTTTGACAGAAATGTGGTGTTTTTTAATTAACGTGTACATATTATTGGAAATTACAACTGTTTGTTAATTACTTGCTCTGTGTTTTGATTTAATTTGTGTGAAAAGAATTGTTATTAAAATGACAAGTGACAAGTGACAGGTGATGGACAACCGAAGTTTCATACGACCTAATTTTAGAATATTTAAACTTTATGAAAAAATACATAATTAACTGTGTATGGTATAAAACTTACAATTGTTAGTTATCCGTTTTTATTTATACTTTAATTTGTGTATAATAAATAAAATAAAAAAATTTAGCAAACGATAGACAACCGAAGTTTCATGCGGCCGAATTTTCGATTATTTCAACATTATGACGGAATACTTAAAAATTGTAGTAGTTATTGCAACAAATTATTACAAAAAGAGGAATTGGGTGGTCTTAAACTTAATAAAATTTAGATTAATTCAAGAATATAATAAAGTTAAATTACAAGCATTCTGATTGGTTGCTTGATGTCATCACTTGTCAAAATTTGATATAAAGTAGGACATTTTACACAAAACTCGGAATTAGAACAAAAAAAAAAGCAAAATTAAGGCTCTGAAATAAAATTTGCGATTAAATGAATCAAAATACACAAGTGGGATTTGTCATTCGACTGACATAAAAATGTAAAAGGGGCCTTAGGCAACTAACCTCACTTTCGGTTTTTGTACTTTTTATCTGAAAAAATGACAACAAATCTATTAAAACACGTATTTCTAGCATTGTTGTTTCATAAAATCGAAAATGATTGAACCAAATTTCATAAAAATCTAACAAAAATCAGGTTTTGCAGTCTACTAATTGTTCAATATTTTTATAACTCGTAGAATTTTTCGCCGATTTTTGCAAAAATTTGATTTTTGACTCGCTTTTTGCAATTATTTTTGCCCAATAAAAATTAATGAATATCTTGAACACCATCACATATTTATTAAATAATTTGTACATTTAAAATTACAATCCATTAGACGTGATATATTTAATCTTGTAGTCAAGGTAGCGGCCACGGCAGCCCCGAAAAATCCACCGGCCCCCCTAAACCCGCATCAGCCTCCAACAAACTCATTATGACCGCCATTGCAGCTTCATCATTTCCCTCAGAAACTGGCTCATTACTGGGTGATTCCCTCACAGCATCTTCCATTATTTCGATGATTCCTTCATCCGTATTTCGTACTAGAAAATATTAAATTCGAAATAAGAAAAAAATGTGTATACAGGTGTCCCAGCGAATTTTTTTTTTTTTAATAAAAAAATTTTAAAAAAATGTATAGGACATTGATAGATACTAATCTAGTGCATCACCTAAAATTATTTTCAGCTATACAGCATGTCCCAAAAATAAGTTACAATACAAACTTGTGTTTTTTTAAATGAAATACCGTATGTTTCTTTGCAAATTTGGATGTAGCCTTTTAAAACAAAAATTTTTGCGCTAAACTTTTATTAGCCGATTTTGCTTAGTTTTAGAAATAAGACGTTTTTTTTTGACAAAAACATGCATTCCTTTTTGTGCATTGGAAAAAATAAGAGAATCTGGACAACCTGCATAAATTTTGTTTAATTTGAATTATTATATTATTATATTATATAATTAAAAACTGACGTTTTTTTTGTCCGCTTTAGTACGTTTTTGACCTGGAAAGAGACTTATTTTTTTGAAATTTGTAAATATAAAAGTCACTTTTTTCACTAAAAATTAATTTATTCTGTGATAGTTGCCCCAAAGTGGTAAAAAAGTCAACACTTTATGCATAAAATTATTTTATATTTATATAAAAAAACTAACACACGGGTTTTAGAATACTTAAAAATGTAGGAACAATATGTTTAAAAAAAATTTCAAGTAAGATAAAATACCAGAAACATTGTAACCGTACCATTTGTATTTAATTATTTGGTAAAATGTGTTGCCTATGCATTTTTGAAAATTTTATTTGACTCTGCGGTGACGGATCACGCCACAGTGGGAAAGGGGGGATTTTGTGTTTTTTTTGGGGTTTTCGAAAAGTGGGAAAACAAAGGAAGGTGTGGCAGTCGTCGTTGGGCAGGCGAAGAGTGAGGAGAATTTTGTTGTTTTTCCTTTTTGAATTAAATTTTGGAAATTGTTGGGATGTCGACTACACCCGGGGACTTCCATCGAGGAAGAGAAGGAAGCGTCGTCGCTTGGAGGAGGCTGCAGAGGAGACCGTGGGGCTCAGGAAGATGAGACCGGACGCGACAGGGGGTATGACTAATTACGTCACCAAAAACGTAAATTCTGTATCGATATTACGTGAAAATTGTGCCTAAAATATTGTTTTCTTCATAATAATCATGATTGTTGTTAATTTGCCATGAGTTTTGTAAATGGATAATTCGTCTGGTAAAAGATTAAGTTTTCGGGTTTGTTTTATCTAACGCGAGATGAAAAGTAAAACTTCTGTAGCTTCTCCTGGTTTCATGCATGCCGCATTGCGTTCTGTCTTTTACTGTTCTTTACTCTCCTTTAATTGGGCAATCATATCAGCAAAGTCCCGGTAGCTGATAAGTAATAACGCTTCCACGTACACAGGACACAAAAGAGGAGCTTGTCGAAAAAGGACGGTTTTTGCCCACTAAAGAGACCATAGGTCCAA